CAAAATTGGCGTCATCTGTAAATGGCAACTACGACGGCAAATTATTTTGATTTCCATTTGGAACTCAACTATGCTTATATACGTTTTGCTGAAGTTGAAGTGTGGCGCCGTAACGGACGGTTAAACACATGCAGCCATTTTCGAAATTCTAACTTAAAATAGAAATTCATCTTTTGATGAACGTCTTCCTTGGCGCTGCCGTCCTGACTGCTTAAGGTCACTAATATATATACTGAATACTTATTAATTTGTTAACCATGGACTTTTCATATCTCAAACATAAATTAGAATAAGACGACATGTGCTTCTTTATTTTTTTTTAATTTTTTCTTGAAGAACGTGGACGTGTTAAGCTCTTTCAACCCTAAAATAAATTTATCCTCAAGGAGTCGATATGGTATAACGACTGAGGTAAGAAGTTTTGAGGGACTAATAGCCTAAATGAAAGAAGCATTAAATAATAGCCTCCTCACTAAATATCTTGGTTCAACATTTGAAACTTAAAACACGTTTTTTTTTTTCCTTTTTGTGCTGACCGTCTTTGATGGGTTTCCTTTTTTTTAACAAGACAGAAGCGCTGCTTCGGTGGGGGCCAGGGCATTAAAAGATAATGGTTTTATCGACAGAATTAATTATATGAATTGGCCGCCGTAGAGAGATGCTAAACCTAATGTTTCGAGCGATAAACATGAATTGAACGCCAGATCTGTTTTATTCCTGTTCTGTTACATCTTGCTAATAAGTTAAAAAGTCCTAACCACAGACTTTATTTTTTTATCTTCGACCCATTCTAGATTAGCAAGACAAGTGCTTACCTCCTTGGACCTCCTGAGTCTGAACGTAGTTTTGAAGATAAGGTAAGTCATCATAAGTTACAACAAGAAATAGTCGACGACAGTTGACTAAGTCAGTTCGTTTTCATTTGAACGTATGGCCTAAAAGATTGAAAGAAAGCAAGGAAGTTGAGTGAGATTTCTCGTCACTTATTTATAAGTAATGCTGTCCTCAGGTTAGTCACACTAATTTTGTTACAAATTTTACTTTTAACATCTTGACCTTCTGTTTTAAATTCCTGCGAAAAGATCAGTTTAAGACCTCGATCGGTCAAAATCTTGAGATACTTGAAGTCTTCGCCATGTTCTCTTTATATATCCTCATATTTATCTTCTAGAAGGCAAACAAACCGCTCAGTTCTCAGAACCAAGCATCAGATCCATCTGCTGCACCTAGATACAGATTGCCAGATCTGCTTCCTAAATCTTTAAGGGGTGAGACACAACGAGGGCGACAAGAAATGCAAGGGATGCTGGATCTGGTAAAGACTCGAAATATTAAGTAAATCTTCAGGTCACCTAGTTTCCATAGTTACATCAAAATAGTACGCAGAACCTTCATTGTGAGGGTAAAATATATCGTCATGAACTGATGAGCAATACTGTCTTAGGAAATTAGTAGCATCGGACTCAACCATCAGCTTTGTGCTGCAAAGTCTACAGCTGTTTATAAAATATTTTCATGTTTCTTCTCCTTCACACATTGGAAGACCTTCAAGGTAAACCCCAGTTTAAACTCAGTTGCCAATAAAGGGCTTAAGAATAACTTTTAGCTAAAATTCACCACGCAGAAACATCATGTTGCCAAAGATTTCTAGTTCACTTCTTTAGTAATTGTTTTTGCATAAGCGTCCAAACTAAAGAAAGTTGTGGTTTACTTTTTTGTCTTCTTTCGTGCTTGAAATTTTAGAATGCTCCTCCCCTCTAAAAAAGACCGATTAACCCGCATTCGCTGAATCCTATTGGGATAGGAGCATGAAAAACTGGTTAGAGTTCATCTTTTTGAGGTTTAGTAGAAATATTTTCGCGCATAGTGGACAAAAATACACAAGTTTTCTTTGTTTTTGTTCTCTCAGGCCTATAGTTTATTTTAACAAGTATATATTTACTGAATACTTATTAATTAGTTAACCAAAAACTTTTCATATCTCTGGTGTATCGTAGAATTACACATATTTTTCTTCGTAGAACTTAGACGTGTTAAGCTCTTGCAAACCTGCAAAAGATCTATTTCCTAGGAATGGATACAGTTTTACGAAGGAGGTAAGACATTTTGAGCGACGGTTAAAGGTCATTGGCTAATTGATTTGATTCTATTATCTTATCTCAGCGCTTGGTTTTCACTTTTTTTTTAATCCTTTGCTGGCATTTTGTTGATTCATTGCGCGCCACATTCAAGACAAGTCGAGACTTTTTCCCCCTATTTTATCGATCAGACTGGAACTCTGAGGGGATCAATATCTGCTCACCGAGGAGTAGCTTTGTTGAACAATCAGTAGGACTTCAAGAGATGTTAACTTCAAAGCCTGCATCCTGATCTTTGCTGGGTCGTGCGGTAAAACGTGGCATACGTAGACCATTGGTGAAAGATTCCCATATCCCTCTCGTTTTCCCCCCGCTCTGGGATACCTTGACTAATAGATAAAGGTTTTAGTGCTTGAATGATTTTCCCGTAATTTTCCGAATGCTTAAATGACCTGCTCGGATAGATTTTAAATGCTGGATGTTGCGCTAAGTGACACCTTAGGTAAAATCGGTTTTATCTTGTCATCCCTGCAATTACAAGTTCTCATGGTTTTTTTTTTTTTTTCATTTTAAAATTTTTTCGCAGAACGTAGACGTGTTAAGCTCTTTCAACCGTGCAAAAACAAAAATTGCAAAGAGTCGATGTTGCATTACAAGGGAGGTAGGACAATTTGAGCTACGAGGCGTCTTAGGTATTAAATGATAGCTTCATTTCTTTCTTACATCTCTTTTATATAGAAGACAGACGTATTATGCTCCAGGCGTCGATATGATTTCAGGCGTGAGGTGACGCTTTTTAATGACAAAGGAACTACATAAAATTTTTTTTCATACCCAAGTATGACCTTTTTTTGAGTGTATAAGGAGTCCAGAACCATTTGTTGCGTGCGCTTATTCTAGGGTACTGAAATGTATTATTTTAAGCAGTAAAGTTAACCAAAAGAAGTCCTCAGTATTGCCTTAACCATGAAAATTCTATTCTGTGAAAACATTGGCAAAGTTCCAAATAAAATGAATACTACCGGGGTGGACTGTCCGGTCGAGTTATTACTATAGCATTTTTTGTTTCAATTGTAGGGAAGCACAACTTCTACAACTCAATCACAAAAGGAAGATTTAGAATCTTGCGCCGTTGTTTCCAGTGATGGTGGCACACTGAAGATGAATGGCGTCCAACTGACATGGCCTCCTAAGGCTGTTGACGAACCTGTGACTATCAAACTAACATTGGAAGAACCCTCCAAGTACTATGGCCTGATATTTCAAAGCGGACTTGAAAATGATCTTATTTTTGGTGCAAGCGTTATCAATTGTCAGCCAAACGGTCAAAAATTTAACAAATCGTTGACTTTGAGAATAACTTTGAACAAATACGAGGAAACATTTAAAAACCTTTTTGTTCTACACGGCAGAAAAACCGAAAGTGGAGACATCGTTTGGGAAGACATCTCTGAAAAACCGACCGTTGACGCTAAGAAAAGGACAGTAAGCACCGAAATAAATGGATTTTCGCTGATTGCTGTGCTGTTGGGATCGATTTGGGTTCACTCAAAAGAACTTGTGACGCGACTTAATCTCATGTCCTTCAAATATACGTTGTCCGTTCTGTGCAAAAGCGATTTTCAGAATGGTCCTTTCGAGCAGCTCGCTCTCGTTTTCATGAGCAAAGACGCCTACCTGGAGAAGCATTACAGAGAACACGATGGGTCTGCATTAACAAGGCTGAAGAGTGATGGGTTTAAAGAGCTTGGATCTTTGGTTCGACAGGAAACAAACTATGTCTACAATGAGGAAACCCTAACTGTCTCAATTGAACTTGGACAGGACTACAAACCAGCGAACAAACAAGATGAAAGTTTTGAATTCACCGTCGAATCGTCGGTATGGTGGAGTACTGGACACGTCATAAACTTGCTGCTGCAAAGTTCCACAGGCTGTACAAATGCCAAGATTTTGTGTGGAAAGATTCTTGTTCAAGGCCAGTATGGACATGTGCGGGAGGACCACTTCTGTCAACTGGGTAAGCTTCAGTATCAGCAACCTTCTTCTGAAATTTGTTGATCTAACAATTTTTTAGCTCTAAAAGGGGTCCGGGTTTTACTATTCGACAGTGCATTCTATTAGTATCCTTTTCTTCTTTTAATTTTTCTCCATCTTAAGCTAACGAGCTTTTTCAGTAATTTTCATAATAATTCATTTTAAAAATTCGGAAAAAACAGGTAAATCTTTCATTATGCAGTTTGAAGGGCGTTATGTTCCAGAAAAATATTAGTTATGACAACAATACAATACTTGACACATTTTGGTTATCCTATTCACGTCACGGAAAGTTATCCTCGTACCATTCCAATACAGATCTGTGTAGCTACGTGAAACGACTTCTGGGAGTAGAGAAGCTCAATTCCAACCTCCAGCCCGTTGCCCAAAAACTTGGGTTGCCCACGGAAAAGTGGAGACAAATTGTCTCATATTGGAAAGACGAGGAAAAACAGCTAGAATCTATAATACTAAATTGGAGAGAAAAGCAAGGGGATAACGCCGACCCCGAGTTGTTGAGGAAAAATCTCAGCGAGTTAAAGCCTCAAGGTAAGACGTCGAGCTTAAATATATGACAATGAGAGACTTCGTGTGGAATATTTCGTGTTAGGTGTGACTTTTTTGAAAGCCATTCTGTCTGACAAGAATTCGCGTCACCCGTCCTTTCCAAATGTACACTACTAATAGTTTGAAACAAAGGAGAGAGAGAGTATTTTTTTCTGAAGCATTTTTACCTAATCCCCAAATTCGTTTGGCTTATTGCTCTCTCTGCAATGGTAGGGTTTTCTTCCCCAGCACACTCCGGGTATAAGACGTTTGGAATACGAGGATACCTTAATGAAGGTGGAGCATCAAGTCGCTTTAAAAATTTGCAGCAGATGTAGCTCCTTTACTACGTTAGCCGGTTTCTAACTCAAGTATTCGACTTTAAGACAGTGAAGCTACTTTTTGCAAAAGTTCGCCTGCCTTTCTTAGTTGAGCATCGACGGTTATCTCAACGCAATATTGCACTGATTATAATGGTGCAGTCTTATGTTTCATGCGTGGTTTCATTTTAGTCAAACTCTCCATTTTTACCCTTTTTGCTGATTTTGCGGCAGGTCAGTAGCAGGAGTGGTTAAAATGTATTTGCAGCACTGAATGAGTTTCTGATATTCAATCTTCGTAAATACATTTAGTCATTGTTTTACAGTATATTCCTTTAGTATATTTACAAAAGAGAAATCGATAGCTGTGTGTCAAAGGCATTTACTTGGCTTGACATTTAATTGGCTTGGTAGCCTTAACTGCAACTGTACCATTTGATTGATTCTCTAGCATACAGAGTGAAAGAAAGAGGACAAATGCACATCACACATTTGAGAGAACTGGCGACCACGATCGATCGCTTGGAACACAAGGATCGTGACATGATGGAACACTTGAGCAGTGAGATCAAGCACCTCTGTGGTTCCATTTTCCGAGACTGTTGCATCGAGATGGCAAATTCTAGGAGAGATCTTGAGTGGGCAACTTCGACGGAAAATCATTCAGATGTCCTTGTTACCCATGGCAGAATTTCCCAAGATGTTTCTCGGCAATATGAGGAAATTCGTCTTTCTCCTGTGCACTCCGTAACAGAAAATTTCCTCTCTATTGTCCCACATCTAATTCAACCCATCAAACAAATTTTCAAGGAGGAAACCACACCACCACTCCAGAATGGAATGAGAGGAGTCACCGGGGAGACAACTCTCGCAAAAATCAATTCAGAAATTCAAGATGCTATGAAAAAGAAAAACATTTTCAGACTTTTCATAGCAGTAAGTAATATTCTTGAATGTTTATGCCACAGCAATAACGTAGACCAGTCTCAAATCACACATGACGAGATACGCGAATGGGGCAGCTCTGTTATGATCATCAGAATGTTGAAATTTTTGGATAAGTACTTTGAAACCGCCGGTTCTGAAGCGCTGAGGCTGTGTGAAAGACTACGTATTTTTTCGATCCACTTGAAAGACATAATGCTGGACCAAAAGGCCTATGAGGGAATGTTCCTTAGGGATTTCTACAACGTGGCATTGAACCTAATAGCGTTTTCCAAATTTGATCCGACACGATTCTTGAGATTTGAACTGAAGGACCCTTGTAGTTCAGCAGATATTCGAGGTGACGACGTGTTGATGTACGACAAATCAAAAGAAATCTTTTCCCAGCTTTTCTGGATCAGAAAAGAGTCTGAGGAAGAATTACAACTAGAGGCAGTTGCACGTGTTCACATTAACGGAGATCTTCGCAGTGTGGGGGCATTTGAATCAGAAATCACAATACCCCAAGCCCGCAGCGAAGTCATCGACAAACTTCCAAAACCCTCCGTGTGCGTTGTTGTCAAAAAAAAGTGCGAGAGAAACATTGGCGTGACTCTTTATGCAACGCAGAAGGAAAATGTCTGCAAAGCCCTAGAGTATCTGAAGCAGGAATTGGGCGACGAGCTGGTTGACTTGTGGAAAGAGAAGATTGCATCAAGCCACCTTAAACTTCGCAGCTTTGCAAAAGCAGGCACAGATGTCAAACTGCGTTTGATCCACAAATGGGGATCACAGACGATTGGTCTTGACAGCATTGATTTCATAGCCCTTGCCGATGCTAGTGCAGGAGGTGCCCGTATGCCCGATGCAAAAACAGAAGGTTGGTAAATGTGCTGTCGTTGACCAGTCTTAATTCACGTGGCTTCCGATTCAAGAACTGTATCTTTTGTTTTAAAATTACCGATGTGTTTTTCACAAAAATAAATTAAATTGACACAACACAACACTAACGTATCCAATATCTGGCTATGCTGCAAGAGAGATAACTCCTTTTCCCAATCAATCTTTCAGCTGAGGCCAATCAACTGACGGTTCTACCAACAGCAGGTGACTCAGAGGCTGGCAGTTCTGACGTGAGTAGCTTCGTCATGGATCCAAGGCATGCAGAGTTGGTACAGAGAGATCTAAGAGAGCAGCGGGGGAAAATTGGTGAGACATGCCAGTCTCGTTTATTTCAACTTAAGAATTCCCCAGACCTTAACCTACTGTTTTCTGTAAAGATATACCAGAAGAAAGCTGTAAACCATGCGTTTCAATCATAACTCTTTCAATAGGCCCTTTTTATTTCAAAATTCTATCCTTTTATTTGGTTTTTTTTTATCTGGTTATGTTTTTGCCCTTCCTTACTAAATCAAAGAAAATTTATTGGGTAGGTAGACGGCCGACCTCTGCTCGATATGGGATTATCTTTCTGTTTCCTAGAGGGAGGGATGTTCGAATGTCAAGTCCTTCCAACAATGTTTCTGAATAAAATTTGAAAGACATTTTACCATTATCATGTCGTTTCCTAGGACGCTATGGCAAGTAGCCGTGAAAAAATTATCTCAGTATCATGCCAGGTGTTTACGTGTTCAAAACACCTACTTACTACCAAGATTTAAAAGCCGTTTTCCTCACTGAGGACCAGACATTCCTTGCTAACCACTCCTGAGAATGGGGCCCTATATCATTTCACTGCAATAAATTATTCTCATCAGCATTCTGTTTCACAAATTATCAATCAATCGCATCAATCCCAGGAGTTAAAAAGTAGAACAGGTAGAGACTATCACATAAAGCGGTGTAGAGGTTAATGCAGAGATATTTTTAAATAACGACCTCCTAATTTTGACTCTTGCTTCAGAGATCCACTATCACCAAAATTTTATGAAAGGTCACGTTTGCGTGGTGGGAAAGAACACGAGTCTCAATATGCAAATGCCAGCCGCAGCTTCAGATCAAAGGTATATTCTAGTAATTCTTATGTCTTCCCTCAATCATTTATATCAAGAAAGGATCCAACCAGGACACTGTTTTTCAGGCTACTCCTGTTAAGTTCACAAGTGAAAAGGGAATGAATGATGTCCACAGGTGAACTGCATAGGAACAAATTGCGTAAAAGGCCCAAAATAATTAACGCTTTAACAAGGTTCGAACCCACGGCTTCTACCACCAATTGAGCTACATGATGAAAGGAACATGGTAGGAACTCCTCAAGTTCCAAAGGGTTCTATGTTTCTCTTTTTCCGAGATCTTAAGAGAATCCAAAATCAACCAAACCTGTGTGGCAATTTTTTCTTCCTTGACATCAATATACTGGTATAACAAAACATCTGAGCAATAAGAAAAAATATGTAAACATTTTAGTGGGAGAGCCCTTGAATTTAAAACAGTTTAAAAAAAACTCCCTAGTGGCAGACCCCTTGAATTTAAAACAGTTTAAAAAAAACTCCCTAATGTATGCATGTATGCCCTATGAGAGCCAATCATTATCACTGCCTGATCCTCCCTCCACTGTCAATTGTGATCCGCGTATCTAGTTACATTCTTGCTGACATAATGGGAACGGACACCAAATGAAATTAAAACATATGCTTAGGGTAACACCAAAAGTTCTTTTCAGGTGTTTGGGGACAGAGGTCAAGTGAAACTCCAAAAATGAGTTTAACTGCTGCCACAACTGATGAATAAGAAGACTGAGCACATACTAGTTGGTTAATGGAAAAGGAAAGCATTTGGACGAGAAGAAAAAATTTCATCAATACCCTTAATTACATTGTGTAACATGAATTATGTTTAGCCATGCGCTGCATGTAGACAAATCAATTTTGTTTGAGGGTAGCTACCCTAGGTTTTGCTTTACATATCGTAAATAACAAAGAGCTAAAAGGAAAGGCTGGTGCCCGACAAGTTATCGTGTGATAATTCTGGTGTAAGTGATGGCTCCTAAAGTTGAGCCAAATCAGTAACCTTACTTTTTTGGAAAGTTTCACACCCGCCCTGACGTTGCTTTTGTTTTGAAGATGTAACGATCCCAGTATAGTTGGGAGTTTATTTTACGTAATTAAGGCAAACTCCTCTTTGACTCGTCCCTATGGGCTGTTTGCCCTAGTTTGTCAAGCGACCTTTTCATTACGAAAAAATTCTAGTTCCCAAGCAGAAAAGATAGGGTAAACTGAAGATTTTAAAGGCAACAGAATGCATGATCTTATGGTTGCCTTTATACTTAAAAATTAAAAATATTTGCAAGGAAGGGATCCACTGATTGGTAAACTAAGCACTAAGCACCCCAGCATTCAAATTTTTCAGAATTGCCAATCATTCAAACTGCCTAAGAACTCACACTTGAAGACCAGTGGCCACAAATAGTCTCTTTCAGTTTATTTTCGTCCTTTTCATTTCATTTCTTATATTTGTTTCTTATCACGACCATTTCCTAACAATTAGTAGGGCCTGTGAGAGCGTGGCTGGAGGTGAGACCAAACAGCAGCTGGGAAGGAGCGAGACAACCGTACTATATGATCGACTAGTCGACAAAACTAACTTGATATCCATACAGTCTAAGAGGCTTTATTTAACACAAAGCTATCCACATCGTCAGCTTAGCAATATTCCTTAATTTCTTCGATTCTACACCTTTCACCACAGCAATCCTCGTAGATATTCGTCCCTCCACCCCGTTTCCTTCTTTGGTATGAGAGATAGTCTTGCGCTTCATTTTTCGTTTGAACAAACAGATCAGTGCTCATATCTGCAGACACAAAAAAACGATTTTTTTTCTTATAAAAAATTATTGATATAATTATACTAAAACAGTGATTACCGTTAAAGCCTCTTTGATTAGCAACTCGAACTTCGAATATCCTTTGACATTCACCTCCGAGTAACTCGCGTGGAATTTTCACACGAAAGTCTTGTGAGCGTTTCAAGAACAAATGAGTTTAAATCATTTTTTGTATTAGATCATCTCAATGTTTTAGTATATACTGAAACAACTATTCCGAGTGTTAGTGACTAACGGTGGACATTTACATCACTACTTCGCGGCTCGGTAAATATCCGCTATTATTAAAACCTGGATAATTCGATAATGCAATTCAAGACTCTTTATTGGCTTACCCATTATGGTATATGAGCCAATATACCAGAATCTAATATCTGTACATTGTAACATCCGGTTTCTTCTTACAAAATAAAGTCGAGAAGATTTGTCTAATATATTGGGGGCGTTTTTTTTTAAGAAAACAATTATTCCACTCGCGCTTGTTGGATATGAGATGATTATAGCCAACTCGGCGCTACGCGCCTCGTTGGCTATCTATCATCTCATATTCAACGCGCGCTCGTAGAATAATTGTTAATTGGCTATTGACACTGAGGTGAATAGCTGTTAACTTAGTAAAAAGGAAGCTTTTAATTTACCTGAAGATAATATGGCAGTGCATGGGAAATCAAAAGTTATCCATAACGTTGTAGTAGGGAAAGTATCCATAGTTTTTCTAATCTCTTGTTTACTACACTCTCTCAAAGATTGCCTGAACTATGAACTAGGAACAACATTTCAAACATTTCAAAGCAAATATGAAATTGTGAAAAAACCAAGATGCCAAAATGTAAAGCTTCCGTATTACATTGAACACTTATTTTTAGATGATATTTTTATATTTTTCTTCGATAAACACCTTTGTAAATTTAATAAAACAGATGTTATTCCTTATACTTTTACTTGCCTATTGATTCTAACTTCCCCACATGAACCCTTAGCGACCAGTCATTGGGGGAGGGGGTAGGGTTTTCCTCGCGTCCCAATAAAATTTACCTAACCTCCCTATAAGGCTCTGTAGTATTCCAATGACACCCCCCGCCCCCTCACTGGCAGTAAATTGTCTATATCCCCCTTATATACTGTGTCAGCCACGACTGATCGCTGCTCCGTTCCCCCTTAAAAACCATGTGATCCTCCATTCCCTTCAAACCCCCCCCCGCCCCATACTGATGAATACTGATTGGTCCCTCACTTTAAATTACAGCAAAGTTCACCAGAAAATCACAACTAGATGATTTTTCCAAAATTCCCTCGCTCGTTTCTAAAACTGTACCATGGGCTTATCTTCATTTTACGATGAGTAATGTTTACCTCTTTTGCGCCCTCGTCTCGCGGACACTGAACAGATCTTGTCAAAAACCGTGATTATGCTATCCCCACATAAACGCGAGAAGTCGACAGGGAGGGGTGACGCCTCGTTCACTTTACACCTTTCACATCTTCGTCCTTTTGTTCCAGGTAGGTCTGCCATGAGCGCCAAGAGGGAAATGGTGATTACAAATTTCGCTTCCATTCTAGAGAGAAAAAGTAGATAAACAAACTTAGACATGTATGAAATTTTCTCCAGGTTTATGTTTATGCGATTACATTAGACAAAAAATGCTGACTGGGGGTTTAACTGTAAAAAGAATTCCGTTATTTATAGCATCTATTTTGAAGTGTCTGGTGGTCCTTGCAATATGATAGGCTCTTAACTGTGCGATTTATTAACGAATCGCATGTAGTTTTGCTATAAACTGAATCTTTTTCCACCTCTACCAATGGACATGGATCACTGTACAAACAACTGATCATGCTTCAGATTTCAAAGTGTGATCTATTTACGAATCACTCTTTTTTTAACAACATATCTTCCTCATGAAATCTGGTTTCAAGGGAGTTGAATGGATCGATTTTAAAATGGAGTTAATAATTAAAAGTAACAATTTAACATCGAAATCAACATTTTGCTCTAAAGTCATTATGTGGTTTCACATAATGCACGCACGTTTCACATTGAAATCACACGTTTGAGTTTGGACCAAGTTGCTGTCCACTTTCCGCCAACATTAATTAAAACTATCCGATCACATCAAAGAACTCCTTAATTACATCAACAGCTCAAATGGAATTGTGATTAAAATAAGTTTCGACCCAAAATAAGTAACTTAAATTTTCCAACTCGTCTCGCTCGTCACTCGCGGGCTCGAATGCGTCTTGAAGCTCTTAATAATAATAGCATTGATGATGATGATAATAGTAATAATAATAATAATAATAATAATAGTAATAATAATAATGATGATAATAATTGGTTGACTTAAATTTAACAATTATTCGCCTCAGGTTCGGTGAATATCGTCAAATAATCCCCGAGACGAAGTCGAGGGGATTATTCGACGAGGGGATTAAGTCGAGGGATTAAGTCGAGGGGATTAAGTCGAGGGATTAAGTCGAGGGGATTATTCGACAATATTCACCGAACCTGAGGCGAATAATTGTTTTAGTATAATTTCAATGCTGAACAACGGAGAAATTTCTAAAATCATAACATTTTAGTAACATTTATTAACATTTCATTTGAACATTTTATATAAACCGCGTGGAGCGGTTTATATAGCGTCATATAAGGAACCGCTTGACCAATCAGATTGCTGGGAACTCTTTGCTCAGCTCTGAAATTATACTAATAAACAATTATTCGCCGAAGGCGAGGTGAATAGCGTCGAATAATCCCCGAGACGAAGTCGAGGGGATTATTCGACAATATTCACCGAACCTGAGGCGTATAATTGTTTAAGTATAATTTCAGAGCTAAACAACAGAGAAATTTCTAAAATCATAACATTTTAGTAACATTTATTAACATTTTAGTTTAACATTTTATATAAACCGCGCGGAGCGGTTTATATAGCGTCATATAAGGAACCGCTTGACCAATCAGATTGCTGGGAACTCTTTGCTCAGCTCTGAAATTATACTAATAAACAATTATTCGCCGAAGGCGAGGTGAATAGCGTCGAATAATCCCCGAGACGAAGTCGAGGGGATTATTCGACAATATTCACCGAACCTGAGGCGAATAATTGTTTTAGTATAATTTCAATGCTGAACAACGGAGAAATTTCTAAAATCATAACATTTTAGTAACATTTATTAACATTTTAGTTTAACATTTTATATAAACCGCGCGGAGCGGTTTATATAGCGTCATATAAGGAACCGCT